TTTTTTTAAGGCATGCTTGGAGATAAAGCTTACCCTAATGAATAATGATAACTGGGATGACAAAAATGGGACCAAAATGGATGACGATATGAGGTGGCAGAGATCTCAACACCATATTCCTTCGAAAGAGAGTCCCACATAATAGACAATCATTTTATTCATCCTTCTTTCCCTTCTCTACCTATTTTTGCCTTCATCTTCATCGCATCTTTTACATTTTCTCTCTCCCAAATCTTCCTCCCTTTCCTCACTTATCTTCTATTGCAAAGAGTGAATACCATTTTATGAGATCAAACTTTCATCAATTAGGGTTCAATTTCACCCAATTTCACCCAATAACTAGGGTTTAGTTTTTTATTCTTTCTTCAAGAATTTAAAACAATGGTCATGAGGTTTTAAATAATAGAGATAGAGTTGAGAGTTATACCATGAGGTTCTTACGGTTTTCTCTCTCTCCCAAATCTTCCTTCCTTTTTCTCTTGCATTTCTCTTGCAAAAAATGAATACTCTTTTTAGGGTTCTATTTCACCTAATAATTTAGGGTATAGTTTTCTCTTCTTCTTTTTTTTTTTTTTTTTTTTAAAAAAAAAAAAAAAAAAAGATCTTGGAATTTCAAATAATTCAGATGGTTGTAAACAGAGTCATACCATGGAGAAGGAGCCGGAGGCAAAAATGGAGAAGATGAGTGAGGGAAATAACAAGAGAAATGAAATGAGAAAGATAAGGAGCTGGTCAAAATAAAAAAATTTTAAATTAAAAATTTTAAAAACAAAAATAATGATGTGACACACTATGTCATTGATTTTGTAAAATCATCTTGTATATCCGTGCTCCGTATCCTCACCCTACTCTAATTACAGTAAATCTTAATTTTTGGTGAATAAGGTCAAGATCGTTACACCCCTGCCCCTGGCCGACTAATTACCAAAGTTAGAGCTTGACCCACACCTTTCCTTGAAAATGAAGGTTTCACACCTTCCCTTACGAGACCACCTCTACTCGGATATTGAGAGATTGTTGACAAAGAAAAATTATGAAGAAGGATACAAAATAAATGTAGAGTTTTTTTAGTGTTCTTAAAATATAGATTAAAAGTATAGTAAATATTTATTTATTTTTAATAAATTTATATTAAAAAATAAAAATTAATTTTTAATTTATTAATTATTTAACTAAATTAATACATTTAGTATTAATATTAAAATTTATATCAATTTTTATATTCTTTTATATATATTTATGGCAAAAAAAAAAAAAAAAACCTCGTACCTTTCTCGTAAACTATGTCTGAAAACCTCTTCTTAGTTCATCCTCATCTTGCATCAGTTTTAGTTCAACGTCCTTGTTAGCTAGAACCCAGATTCATCTGATATGTCCCCAGGTCAGCATGTTTTTTCAGTTCCTCACATCAGTTCCTCACTTTAATTTTCACTTCTACATTTTTATTCTTGAATGTATTAATTACTCTCTTCGAGTTTCTACATCAATCTACTGAGTTTTTAGTTTTGGAGGTTCATTAATTTCTGTTACTCAAGTCAAAAGATTCCACACTAATATTAGATCATGATTATGGATTCCCAGTTCAATAATGGTTTCAAATTTGATAATGGGTACATTTCATCGGATCTAACTGACCACCAAAATGTTGAGATTTCAATGGTTTCGAATTCAATTATGACCAATCTTTCGGGTATAATTCCGTGGATCCCCCATTTCTACCTTCTTTTAGTTTCAGCAGTGATTCTAGCAATTTAGTTTCATTATTTAGCATGGGTAAGGAGGGGGATTCTGGTTGTCCCACTGATGGCATTGACTTGGAAGACTCTATTCTCAAGTACATAAGCGAGGAGCTTATGGCCGAGGACATGGAAAACAACCCCTCTACGTTTCATAATGCATTAGCTCTGCAAGCTGCGGAGAAATCTCTCTATGAAGTTCTTGGCCAGAACTACCCTACGCGTACTACTGATAATGAAACCCAAACCCAAATCACTATGCTTTATGATTGTTATCAGGGTGCTGAGAATCCAGAAAGTTGTTCTTCTGGTAACTTCGATGTTCAGAATAGCTTTGGCTGTTCTAGTTCCAGCAATAGCAGCTCTTTTCTTCCACCATGGAATGGTGATTGTTTGGAAAATAATACAAATAGACCATCTTTCTTCGAAACACCTGTTCCTTCAAACTTCTTTTTTCAATCAACTTCAAGTTTTAGACATCGACCATCACTCAGCTCTCAAAATAATTTCTCTAACAATGGTGGGGGAGCACCTGGATATCCTGTTAGTGAGTTTGTGATCCAACAAATTAGTCAATTGGTCCGCACACAATTCAACAAAGGAGTTGAGGAAGCTAATAGGTGCCTTCTTAAAGTTAATAATCAGGGGGAGTATTTACCTACTTTCTTGACAAAAAAGAAGAATCATGTACAAGAAGATGAAGATTTAGAAGAAGGGAGGAACAACAAACAGTCAGCAACTTCTATGGATGATGAAACTGAGCTGCTAGTGATGTTTGATAGGATGTTAGCTTGTGGTGGCAGAAGAGAGCCTCATCCTAGTTTCATTGTCAGCCGGTCTTTGCAGAATATGCAAAGTAAGACGACATTACAACCGAGTGTGCAAACAAATTATGGATCTAGTAATGGTGGAAAGGCAGCTCGTGGCAAGAAACAACAAGGAAACAAGAAGAAAGTTATTTATTTGAGAACACCCATTATTTCATGCGCAAAAGCTTTCTCCGCTAATGATTTGACCACTGCTAAGGGGCAACTTAAGCAGATCAAGCAGCACTGTGCGCAGTTTGGTGATGGGACTCAGAGATTAGCTCATGTCTTTGTTGATGCCCTTGAAGCACGCATAGCCGGAACTGGAATTCAGATCTATACAGCTTTGTCTTCGAACACAAAATCGATAGCTGATGTGCTGAAAGCTTTCCAACTCTATATTGCAGTCTGTCCCTTCATCAAGTGTGCAACTATCTTTGCAAACCACAGTATTTTGAAGCTCGTAGAGGAAAAGAAAGCAACAACGCTCTATATTATTGACTTTGGTATTCGACATGGACTACAGTAGCCTGCTCTCATCTCGAGCCTCTCGGAGATAACTGTGGCTACCGGTCCTCCAAAACTACGTATTACAGGGATAGACTTTTCCGGACGTGGCTTCCGTCCAGATAAAGCAGTCCAGGAAGCAGGGCGTCGGTTGGCTATGTACTGTGGAAGATATAATGTTCCATTTGAGTACAATGCCATTGCACAGAAGTGGGAGACAATACAAATTGAGGACCTCAAGATTAGCCCGGATGAGGCCGTTACCGTGAACTCTCAAAACCGGTTTGAGAACCTACTTGATGAGACAGTTGTGGAGAACAATCCAAGAGATACTGTTCTGAATTTGATTAGGAAGATAAATCCAGATATGTTCATACACTCCATCGTAAATGGATCCCACAATGCCCCTTTCTTTGTGAGGCGGTTCAGGGAGGCTCTCTTTCATTACTCGGCATTGTTTGATATGTTTGATGCAATTATTCCTCGAGGAGATCAAATTAGGTTGATGTTTGAGAAAGAGTTGTGGAGGCAAGAAGTAATGAACATTGTGGCATGTGAGGGCACGGGGAGAATAGAGAGGCCTGAGACATACAGGCAGTGGCAGTTCCGAAGTAAGAGGGCTGGGTTCAGGCAGCGTCCTCTGGACCCCGAACTGATGAGGGAATTCAAAGGTAGGCTGAGCCATGTATACCACAATGATTTTATTGTGGAACAGAATGGGCAATGGATGCTGCAGGGATGGAAGGGTCGCATTCTTTTTGCGTCGTCTGTATGGGTACCTCCATAGATGATTGGACTTGTACCGTCATTCATGACTTTGAATTAGTCTCGCCCGGACACACGTTTAGCTTTCTAATTTTGTTATGTATACACAAATAAAAAGTCGTATGATTCTGTTTTGTCGAAGTTTTCTGGCTTTTCTCAAGTTTGTTACATGCTACCACTATAAGAAGCAAAATTCATTAAAAAAGGAAAATTGGAGTCCGAACATATATAAAGAAACAAACTAATAGAGATATATAAGCTAGGACAAAAAAAATAAGAATAACAATAAAGAGGAAACATAAATAAAAAATTATTGTGTAATTTAAATTATATTAAATTATAAAATAATTATATTTAAATTAAAGTATTGAGCAATTTTTAAAAAAATTAAAATATTGAGCTTTTTTTTTATTTAAAATTTTATATTTTATAATTTAATATAATTTACTCTTTATAACAAATAATGTGCCCAGCTTGTTCTACTAAACTGAAAACTTTCAGATTTTGAGTATTTTTTATCCCCAAGTGTTGTTTGGGCTTAAAAATATTTTATCTGATCTAGGCCTAATGAATAAGTGTTCTTTGACTTCTTTCTCCTAACTTCTTTCTCATAAAAATATTTATGGACTGCACAACAATTTCGGTTTAGAAGCACCAGAATTGTGAAGTTTGGCCCAAAAAATTTCAGATTAGTGACTTAATTTGCTTGACAAGGTTTTCTATTTTCTTTTTCTTTTTTTTTTAATTGTCAATAAACAACAGTGATTGAGATTTTATGGTATATTTAGATTATTGACATAAGAACTTCACTATCATTTTCGCACTTTTTTCTTTTATAACACCAAAACCAAAGCTTGTAAGTTATAATGAAAAACTTTAAAATCACCCCCAAAATGTACCTTATTTTTTTTTAACTTTAGTCATTTTAGTTTAATTTTTTAATTTTGTAATTATTAATTTTAGATAAAAATTTAACATATTATATAAATAATAATTAAAATTTTTTACCAAATAAAATTGTTCAACAAAAATTATATATATTTTAATTGTTATTCATATAAATTATTAAATTTTTATCTAAAATTTTATATTTAAAAAAATAAAAAAATTAAATTAAAACTATTACTTGAGTGAAAGGAGTGTCAATCATTGGTAAAAGAAAAGTGTGATGGAAGGAATCTAATTTCAAAAAGTGATAGAAACGGCAATAAAATGCTGATAAATTGCTACCAAGTCCTATTATAATATTCACTAATTTTAAACATTTATAGTATTTAAGCCCTCACTAACTTCTTTAACCTAATTACCCAATTATTTAGTCAGTGTCCTGAAATCACTAACAAAAAACCAAGAGAATAAGTGGTTATTAACCCATAAGAGCTTCTTTTTTTTTTTTTTGGACAAAAGTAATAGTTAGTAAGTTAGTATGAATTAGTTATTATGAACTGGAGATTCGATCCCCAAATTGGATGAACATTCAACTTCCTCAAATAAGACGCGCGACTATCATGCCACTTTTTTGTGGAGTTCACAATAATGGTAAAACTTGAAACTTCGACCACCTCACTCAAACACTTAAGATTTGAAGTCGAACTATTGGGCCAAAAAGCCTGGTTCCATAAGAGTTTATTTCTTGTTACTAAAAGTAAATTGGTACAAATGGGGAATAAATACTCCTTGTAATGGTCTTTACTATTTAGTTTA